ATACATAGATAGACGAATAGATAAGGAGTGTTTACAATGCTGTGAATAAAATATTTGAAAGATTGTGCGAGATAGGAAAGCCTCAAGGTGCGATTACGAACCAACCGAGATAGAATGCCCATAATAAAGTCCCAGAAGAACGCGCTAGCCGGTTTTGAATCCCAGCCGCTTCAGTTCCCGCTTGCGCGTCCGATAATCCCTCGTCTCGCCAACCTCAAGGGTCATGCTTCGCTGCATGACGTCCTCATCGATGGTCGGCTTCAATTGAACACTCCGGAGCTGGTTCTCGAGGTACGCTAACTGGCCCAGCTGTCGATACCGTTCCAGGTCAGGAGGTACGTAATGCAGCACCTCCTTTATCCGGTCTGTGAAGCGAATATACCGCTCGAAGTTGATCAAGGGATGGCCGTCCACCTCAACCACTGTCGGGTATTTCTGGAGAGTCGAGTGGAGTTCACGAAGATGGACCGCTGTGACAAAGGATTAGGCGCTGCCTGAAACGTGAAATGATCTCGTACCGATCCATGGAATACAGGCATCTCGATATTCTGAATCCGAGAATTCTCGTAATGCGGCGCGGTAAGTTCGATGGTTGGCAGAGGGATCTAGAAGGTCGTCGAGTTCATCCAGAGCGAGTTTCAGCTCGGGTGAGAGCTCGTTCTTCGTCTGTCGCAAGCGGTCGATCGGAGCCGAGTGGAGTGCATTCGCAATTGCGGTGACAGATGAGAAATTGCGGAATTTGCGGCATGCCTGACGACAAACGCCTCAATGCCCCACACCTCGTACTTTCATCAAAATGTGGGGACGCACCAATGCGGTGTTAACAAAGAATTTCAACACCTGAGCTCTCGAAGCGATTGAATCGTAATGCAGTACGGACTGTTTCACCCAAAGAACGATCTTGTTGTTGATTTGATATGCAGCCTCCACATTGTTGGGTCGATTTTGTTTCCGTAAATGTGCTATATAGTCTGTCGGAAGGATCGCTTTGTACTTGTCCCCTTCGAGAAGGGTGAGCGCAATAGCAAGATCGTGTGGCATCATCTCAGACGTGCGAGGCATTCTTCGACCTGGTGCAAGCAATGCAACCGGAACAAGGCCATCCGTTCGAGTCTACAACATGCCGCGTGAGCTTCCTCCTGACGACAGAATTGTGTACACTCACGCGATCGTCAATTAACCTTATAAGGTCTCCGGCTTTGTCGTGCATCGTTATGGAACTCTTCATGGATTCCGCGCCTACACAAAAACTTCGCATTTGCCACAGCAGCTGAGGATCGACGAAGAGATGCCGGCTCGTGAGCCAATAGCTGATGGCCATGAATATGCTATGAAAGGCACTTTTGAGTTATGGCGCTCGCGAGCATCAGGAAAAGTCTCTCACTTGTATTGCAAGGCGACCTTGTCTTCCGGGTGCGCCGCTGCCGTGGACTCGACCTCGTGGAATTTGCGAGCCAAAATCCCAAATAGGTCCTCCGGCGTCGTGAAATCCGTACATCCTGTAAATAGTATCTCCCGGTACTCCAGGTCTTTTTTGAGATCTTAAGAAATTAAGGTATTAAGCGCGTACTCCGAAACCGTTCGAGTCGACTCACTGAAATTACGGATCAACCTCTCCACTAGGCCTTCTAGTGTCCCTGAGGATACCGAACCAGAACGACTGAAGTGTATGATAGACTTTGGATTTGTAACTGCGTCGTGAAGAGGAGCAGCCATATGAATGCCAGAGTCATGATCAGACGACACGATACTCTGTGGCGGAGGAGATACACCAGATTGAGGGAAATGTCCCAGGAGCGATGATGACCCCCGAGCAACTTCGAGTGCCTCCTTACGGTCGAGTTCAGAGCCGTCATGCACAGGGCCGTCTGTGCGTCCGTACGGGAAATTTCTGTTGAGAGTGGCGGAGGTTCCGTCAGGTGCCGAATTCGATTTTACTGAGTGTGGGCGTTCTCGGAGGCTATTCGATGTTGAACTGGCTGCCGTCCGCGAGGAAGTGTCTTCGGGGATCCCCTGCGCCAAAGGCAGCCACCCACTTCGTCCTGAGTTTGAAGAGGTCTGGCTGGCATTATTGCCAGAAGAGGTAGGAGGTCGCCGCAAAGAGAACATTGAACGACGCTTCGTGGGCGGCGAAGCTGTTGACCGTCAGTAATAGTCTATAGGAAGTGTCCTGCATATACCCACTCATCGGCAAGCCCTGTATTTCGGCAATTCTCTCCCTGATGGCAGTCATCGACGGGCGATGGTCTGGTTTCTTGTGCCAACACTTCTTCATCAACGCCCAGAGGTCATCGCTGAGGCCTTGGGCTGTAACCTGGCGGCTGGGGCGCTCTGGCAGCTTTCCGCCATCAAGGTCCCGTAGCACAATGATGTCTCGACTGATTTTACTGAAGGGCTGCTCCCCAGTCATCAATTCTAGACATACCATAGCGAAACTCCACACATCTGAGCTGGGAGATAGAGGATCTGTTTGGCGCAACAGTTCTGGTGCAAACCATCGAGGGTTGAGATTCGAGGAGGAGGTCATGCCTTGACCGCACTGTGTAATCACACACGCATCAGCCCAGGCTCAAGATGCGAATGAGGTGACCAACATACATCCTCCAGGAATTTGGAGAGGCCAAAATCAGATAAAACAGCCACACCGTCGCGAGATATTAGAATATTTGCCTATCATTAATAGTCAGTACTACAACCCGCCTATTGAAGTAAACACTCACACCGCGAAGATCACCGTGGACAATCCCATTCAGATGCAGATATTCGAGGCCAGATGCTACCTCGCTCAGTATTCGCAATCTATCAACCGTCGGGTGGGCTTGCACATAAGAGATCGCGGTTCCATTGTCCATCCATGGGCTGACCTAGTAGGGAATATTGAATTTGGTTTCAGTATTCAAAGCAAAATCACTTTTACCGAATATACGTCTTCTCCGAAGTATGATATTCCATAGAATGGAACAACATTGGGGTGATCGAGGCTTCTCCAAATTGTGACTTCGCGTTGGAAACGCTGGAGAGCAGATTAGTTAGAAGCCCAAGATCCAACCAAGAGCCCAAGATCCAGCCAAGAGCACCGAGAGATTGCTCACCTTCTGAACATCCGCATTGTTTGTAAGGGTTCGAGGCAGGCGCAGTGCAACCTACATGGTCTCTTAAGATAAGGTCGACACGGGCACGTTTGAACAACAAACCGGTTCTTGGTTCAGCCATTCGCCTACGATTCGTTTAGAACATGCAATGAGTTTCGAAAGCGCGGAGACATACCCATGAATATATCGTTGAATGTGCCCTTGGCGACAGGATGGGGGCGGGCCAACGTGACCTGTCCCGTTACTATTCACGACAGCATAAGCCACGTTACGGGTTCGTGGTTTGGAGTAAGTCGAGCTCACAGTCAGTCAGCGGAGGAAGTCTCGATGTCTTCTCGTGCAGAAGCCAGAGTCCCTCTCGGAACGTCTGCTCTTGATTTGGTCGCAATGTTGGGCTACGCAGTTCCTATTATGAAGTTGGAGATTTCAACAAATTTCGAACAAGTGTTGTCACGCACTGTCTGAAGGCTCTCCATAATTTCCTCCACCGGTCGCGAAGACTGCATGCTCAACAGGGCCTTCATGTCCTGTGTACTCTGAACAATCTTTTCCAAAACATCCCGCATTTCCGCTCGATCACGATCTTGAATCGCTTTCGATTCTACGTGACTGCGTGTCAGTTGTAGATTGATGCTTATCTGTAGGAACACACGCAACGCGATCAACGGTTTGAGAGATATGAAGAAGGGAAATAGCTGACGTTAAACTTCATTACTGCAGCATCCATGTCGCGGTGAAGTCTGTCAATGCCATCCTTAATCTCGCGCTGCTGCAGGAAGCTCTTAAGCCTGCTGAGCGCCGCCCATTCGTTGACCTTTCGGTCGATGCGACGGACAATCCTAAAGTGAGAGTTATTTCGCCGTGCATAGGGTGTCTATAAAGGAAGACTGACGCTGTGATCTCGTCTGCCAATTCGATGGCTCTCGTGCCCTCGAGACCCACCGAGCCATCACGAAGTGAAAGCATCAAGCCCACGCATCGGCCGCTCATATCAGTGCATTGTTGCTAGAAATCCAAGTTGAAAACCTTCAAGAGATGAGCAAAATAGCTACTGACCTTGTAGATTTTAATACTTTCGATCGTCTTATACGTCGCTGTTACTGAGAAGTGATGCAAGTTACGGTCAGCTTCGTAGGTCGTGTCGCAGAGAAGAAGGGCGCACGAATCGCTACTCCTGTGCCCAGTCCCGGCGGTCCAAGCTGGGCCAACGAGGCCAGATCAGCGCTGGCCATTCCGAAGAGAATCCCCAATTACGATATTCGAGAGTTGGAAGAGTCGAACACAGCAGTTGTTGCCCATTAGAATGACAGGGGTCATATGCTGTGCCCCCAATCTTCAGGTACAGGAACAACGTAAGTAAACAACGTGGAGGGGTCGGCATCAAGCGCGTCCAAACCCAATTTCACATTGAGCGTTATGTCCGGGAGGAGGCAAGAACTTGAAGAAGATGAAGAAATCCTTGTGAGTGTCGATTCTGGAGTTTAGTCTGTCGACTTCTCTTCCGCTTATCAGACGACGCTGATTTGAAGCTAATCAAGCTTTCACCATGGGCTCCTGTTATTAGTATTTCACTACATGTTCCAGACGTCGAGGTCCAAGGATGCCTGGCCAAGCTCAAGGCTCACAAGCTCTCAGTCATTGCCGACGCGAAGCCAATATCTACCCCTGTTACCATCTGATCTCTTGACATCTCCCGACCACTCTTTCCCTCTGATTTTCCAGCCTCCAGGCCAACCGGGAGTCTCCGCGATGTAAGCCTCGAACATCTGAGATATTCCATGGAACCATGGCCAGGTTCACTGTCTTCCAACTTTCTTCAAGTTCGAGCATGTAGAAACTTGGACCGGTGATCAAAGCTGCTTATACGATTCTGGCCACATTGGCTGCTTTCCACAGAAAATCTTGGTCGGTAGCATGGCCGAGTTGGTCTAAGGCGTTGGATTTAAGATAATGCTTGATTCCCAATGGGAGCAATCCCGCGTGAGTTCGAACCTCACTGCTACCAATGTTTTTACCTCCGTGGTGCAGCCGACGGTGCTTCTGTACGGAGGCATCGAAAGAACGTCTCAGAGTCAACTTAGGCAGGCATGTTTCGATGTACGAGGAGATATCTTCCGCAGGAAGGGCGAAAAGACACTGGCGAGTGGCGGGCGGGGACTGGCCGGGTTTGAATAAAGCACATGTATCACTTCTAACTTCCAAGGCAAGGCTGTGCCATGTTTTCTCTCTTTTCAATGACCACAATCAACTTTCAATAACTTACAATTCATTCATGCCCCGCAGAAGCGAGGAAAGGCAGTTGCGTCTCGGTTTCGCGTTGCTCTTGGAAGGCCCATATCGTCTTGGCATACCCGTGATGTTCGAGGTATGTAAGAACGATCTCCGAGTCCAAGCAATAAAAGTACATCAGATGATGAGTATCAAGTTTCTGCCTATTCAGAAAATCTGAAAACATCATTAGCCTTAATAATAAACTAGAAAACCACTTGAAGACATACCCCGTTGATGTTATCCTGGCCTCCTGGGCCCTGCCTGACCCTGCACCCCAAATGAATCAACGACTTTCGGATGGTTCAAAGAATGTTGGACGTACCTGCGAGTAGGTTTGAATTCCTCGGGCTCTGAGGGATCCCAGAGGTTTGCCATGCTGCTGGGGCCGCCCGGGGTGGTCCTGACGCGTCTGAAGCAGGCGCATGTCAATACACAAGTTATATAATCCAGAATTTGGGACGAACCTGCTAGGTTTGAAGCCTGACCCGAAGTCGCTGCCTTCCGTACCTTGCGTCGTGGGATTGGCGACAGATCCGACATTGGGAGTGGCCTGATCAGAAACGTGAGATGTTTGTTAGTGTCCAATAGAAAGTGGGGCGCACCTGTTGGCCCTCCTTGGCTGGTGCGAGCGATAGCGCATCACCTTCGTCTTCGTCGTGCCCAAATATGTCGCTGTGGGGACCACCCGGAACGGTGCGGACCCGACGCGTGGGCTTGAAGTCATCGGCCACGCTGGAGTTGTTATTAGATGCTGTGGAAAAACATCGATAATCGGAGCGACAGATAAAGTGTTGCATGAAACTAACCAGGTGTTGCTGCGGCATCAGCTGAGGTGGCCGACGCGTCCCCTGAAAGCTTGCCAAATTTCGCGTAGCCTAGAGGCCCCACGTTAGTATGAGTCTTCCTATAGAGAGGTATATACGGACGGGGAAGTTTTGCGATGTTGGTGAAGTTGGGGTCGACGGTCGTGCCAGTATATCTGCTCGTTGTAAGTCGCTTGGATCGCGGTGTATATGACGATTGACCATGTACTTCAAGAATTCAATTAAGGAGCGCTTTGTAAAGACGATGTTGGTCGAATCCCAGTCAAGCATGCCTGCATGCCGATGAGCATATATCGTGAAAGAACTGCGAAGCGCTCACCAAGGTTGGCCGGCCAATCCTTTTCTTTCGACAGATCGACAGCATTGACGGGAGTGAAACTGGGTAAAATTCAGCATAATTATCGACCGAGCAGAGGAGGAACATGCGTTGAAGACATGATGTTTAGCAAGTGGGAGAAACAGTGGGGAAGGGTGCGTGTTGGACTCGGCAACCGTAGAGTCACGTTATCGTTATGCGATGTAACGCTTGTGACGAATCGTCGCCCGCGATGGTCGTCGTTCGTCGCATCGACCAAAGGTTGCTGCGCCACCCACCCACCATGCTCGCACCAGCCCGGAATGCCTTTTGCAGAGCATGTTCAGCCCCTGTGAGAAGATACGCCACCAGTTCCACCCTTGCGTCTCGCATGTATACGGACCCGCTCCATGCTGCTGAGCCTGCCGTGACGACGACACCGCTGAATATTACACCTGAACAGCGCGCAGCATTGGATGCCGCGTTGCGTGTTGATCAGGCTGGAGAGGTCGCGGCAAATTACATTTATAAGGGTCAGCTCTGTGTACTGGGACATGACCGACAGACGGGGCACTTGATTCAAGTAAGTCGTTTCTCTTTTGTCATTCTCTGGCTTATTCTTGTGGTAGGAAATGTGGGATCAAGAGAAGAAGCATCTCGCGGTCATGGATAAATTACAGTTGCAGCACCGAATTCGCCCAACCGTTCTCTCCGAGGTCGCAAAGGTTGCCGGCTTTGGACTGGGAGCTGTGACAGCGCTCATGGGCAAGGAGGCAGCAATGGCATGTACGGAGGCTGTCGAGACAGTCATCGGCGAGCATTACGATGAGTGCGTTATTGCTTTTCCAACACTGCACTCTTCGCTAAGCTTGTTCGTAGTCAATTGAAGGAATTCGAGTCCTTCCCCCAAGACCATCCCAGCATTCCACTTCTCAGAGACGTGGTCAGGGAATTCCGGGACGACGAACTTGAGCACCTCGACACCGCGGTAGAGCACTTTTCCCAGCGTGCGCCAGCACATGCTTTGTTGAGTAGTGTCGTTGGAGCCGGATGTAAGGTTGCAATAGAATTGTGCAAGCGGATATAGGTTAGGGAGCAACATGCCATCACTTTTGTGTGACTGAGGATGAGGAGTATGCTGAGAGCGATTGTTTCGGACGACGGACGGGACGTTCAATGCGCAGGAAAACATTAAATTTGGCATCGGACATCTATTCGGACTTCGTCGTCGTGGGAAGGAGGGGCTGGCCTTTCCGCTGCAGCCAGTTGAACTTGTTCTGGGGTGATTGTAAGAAAGCTGTTTTGCGAACGAGTAGGAGGTAACGCACTTGGTATTCGCTGGCGAGATAGTAAACGGCACTGGGGAGAATAATGAAGCCCACGATAGCCGTGCGTACTGTCTTGCTCGTCCAACGGAACTTCAAGTACGCTTCCTCGCGCTAAACGGAACAGTGATTGGTGAGTCCGTTGGCATGGGTAAGAGCAAGCTGCAACATGCACCATGCGGTTGAACCGCTCGATAGCGGGGTCTTCCTGTAACGGCGCTGTTAGGAACATAAATTGAGTGAGGAAACTAGCTGAACACACCTTCACAAGTGCTGCACAACAAACAGGTCAGTCAGTAAAGCTTACACGTTGTAGAGGAGGGGTACATACGATTTCCAGCCATATCGGATGAGCGTGCAAGACAGAAGGTTTCTGGTTGTTTCAATGTTTGTGCGTTGTTTGTAAACACCTTGCTTTGACCACCATCATCTTCCATGGCCTACAACAGAGAATGGGACCAGGGGAAGGACGTCTGGCACGAAGGCCAATGGAATGGCACAGACCACCGGACGAATATTCGCCCGAGGGAAGACGAACACTATGGAGATGTCAAGAGGAGAAAGTATAACAACGGGGTCAGTTTGCTGTATCATAATCACTATCCCACAAGCTCATTTGATGTATATGCAGGGTTTTCAAGGAGGATACGATACAACGCAGGGCTACGAGGATAGCGGATATGATAGGAATCAACGCCAGAGCGGAGACCATGTTCAAGATCATGGACACGACGACCGCCGACCGGGCTTCAACAAGAAGCGCATTGCACCATCCGAACCTAGCCCACATGTCATCTTCCTAGGTCTCGATCCAGATTTTACGGAGGCCGACGTTCGTGCGGTTCTTACCCTTGCTGTTTTCTCGACTCACCCATTGTATCCTAGCTCCAAGCCCATCTCACCAGCAGCGGATGTAGCGTTGAAACGGTCACCATCATTCGAGACAAATCATCAGGCACTTAAAACATTTGTTCTTGCCGTCGCACATGCATTAACATTCTCCGACGTTGGATTTACAAGGTTCCTCCAAGGGGTTCGGCTTTGCACAATTCACCACAACAGAGCACGCCCGCGCCTTTGTCGATCCACTGTTCCCATTCATCCAGGTCCCTCCACCGGCGTCGCATGGGGCTTCCGCCACTGCTGCGTACTATAAATCACATGAAATGGGAACGCCGACCAATGGCCGAAGGGTCAAGATCGACTACTCGCAGAGTGCTTCGCCTCACGACAGGGGACGCGCTAATCGCGGTAACATGAACGATGGAACACGCGATATTGGAAACACCCAGTCTCCCGTCCTCCTCTTCAGGGGACTCGACCCACTGTCGGGGCCCCAGGCTATTCACCAAGCCATGCTGTATTCCTCAGGGCCCACTATGAAAGGGGCAAAAGGCATGAAGCGAATTATCCTTATCAAGGACAAGGTTACAATGGCAAGCTTTGGTTTTGCCTTTGTTGAATTTGTCGACGTGACGGTGCGGTTTGCCATGCCGCCTTGGGTTTGTTGTCTGATGATACTATTAGTCGGCCTCTGCGGTTTTGGCGGCGACGATGTCACCGATTATTCATCCAGCGGGTTTCCGCATCTCCGATCGCCCAGTCGCGGCGTCGTTCGCCCACCCCTACTCCTTCCAACCTGTCACCGATTTTCTGTCCCGAGATGAAGCTTGCCTCATGTCATCGATGAGCTTAGGTGGCGTGGAAGGCCAGTGGGTGCGATATTGGGATGAGAGCTCGACGGTTGCTGTCTTGGAGTTCAAGGTGGAAGAACCTGTTCAACCCGCTCAGTCCACCAAAGAGAAGAAGAAGAAGGAGAAGAAAAGTGAGTGTTCCCGCTGATGCAAGATCTGATAGCACTGTCTTATATATACATTAGGTGGTGCTGAGGCTCGCCCTGCACCCGCCGCTCCATCTGCGCTCCCGGTGTCCGACAAGCCTGTGATGCTAAGCTTCAGCAAGGGTCCAACGAAGGCCGCTATTGGTGCGTAAATTTGAAGAGATTTTCGGCCGCAACTAATGATAATCATCGCAGCTAAACCTTTGAGTCTTGGATTTTCGATGGATGATGTCGGCGAGCAGCCTGAGGATGCTAATCCCGAGGCGACTAAAGGCAAGCATTGTCCTCGATCTCTTGTCCCTGAGCTCAACGTTTACCCGTCTATCGCTAGTTGCTGCGGCCAAGAAGGTGGCTCCTCTGATCGCGAGCAAGAAGGTACTGTATCTGTGGAGCGCCAATCACCGTCACAGGAGGAAAACATATGAAACGACGGTACTAATCATGCAATGT